ATTGCTTGCCGAGGGACCTCTGGCTGAACAAAGCGATTGAGGACAACATCTGTGAATGCCTTGGCTGATGGCTCTCGGTGTAAGGCATCACGGCGCGCAACCGACTTTTGAACCTAGCTTGTAAACGTCCAAAGAGGAGAAAGAACAGCAAGAGTACTGCTAATCATAATAGCCATAGCAGCAACAATAATAGCACTAGCAATACTAGCAATAGTAACTATAATACTAATGATGATGACAATGATTCTAACAGTAATGTGCAGACTCCGTCACAGCGCTCCGAGTTGCGCCACAAGTGGTGCGATTACCATGCCACACGGTTTATAAAGAATATGGGGGTTACATTGGGTTCTATAGGGATAATGGACAAGAAGATGGAAACTACTAGAATGGGTTATGTAGGGTTTTGGGTTGAAGCTTTAGGGGTTAAAGGGTTGAATTAACACAGGTGAAGCATTTGTGGGAGCAACCTCTCGGGGTTCAATGATACAAAAAATGCGTAGCCTCCAGGACTGCAAGCTATATCATATGCAAAACCCTGAACCCTAAGCCCTAGACCCTAAAAAAAACGTCCAAACTCAGTCCTTCCGCTCTCACTCTGTAGACTTCAGTCCCTCCAGTCCCTTAATTCCGACAGCGTTGCATGAGGAGGGCACTGCATGGAGCCGCTGTTGGTGCGTGGCTCTTGGCCTGCATCTTCGAACCTGGATGCAACAAGCAAGGTTTAGGGTATAGGGTGTTAACAGCGGGGTTGACCTAGAAACGCAAGCTTTAGACCCGGCATCATGGCTTTCAAGCTCACTACGTTTCAGATATGCTCTGTCCTATCTGATCGCCTGCCATGTCGAAAAGTCTGAAGAACACCTGGACAGGCTGTGAATGATAAGCTGGCCAATTGCCGGAATGGTCTTAGTTGAAAGTTGACCAAAGTTGAGGCGACTCGAAACGAGCTGCTTCAGTTCGTGAGTTTGGGACTCAGGGTGCGCGCTTGAGGTTAATGGCATTCTCACGTGTATTTGTTGCACAGACCATCAAAGAAGAGAACAGACCGACAAACTGCAAGGCGCACTCATCTTCAAGCATCCCGAGAAGCAGGCAAGACCTGAGCCTAAAGAAGAAGGGTCTGGAGTTTAGGGTTTAGGGTTTATGGCAAGACCTAAGCCTGAAGAAAAACCCTGCAAGTTTAGAACACTGAACCCTCCGCCAGATCGCTGCTATTCAATGTTTCGGAACATCTCTTGAGATCCAGCATCCATGAACCCTAAACCCTAAATCCTAAACCCTGAACCCTGAAGCTCCTGTAAAGAGATCCCCCTAAGTCCACCGCTCGAAGATTGAAACCATGCCATGAACTGATGGACTCCCCAAACATACACAAACACAAGGTTTCGGGTTCAGGGTTTCGGGTTTAGGATTTAGGGTTTAGGGTCTAAGGGTTAGGGGTTAGGATTTAGGGTTTAGGGGCTAGGGTTTAGGGTTTAGGGCATTCCGACCTCCAAACACATGGCCCCCGATCCCTTGCCAGAAAAATGTGGCGGCACTGCGACGAGCAACAGTAGAATCTTGCCCCGCACATCTTTCAGCTCTGGCAGGACGCCCTTGCTGCACGAGCAAAGGTGAAGTTTTGGGCAATGATGGAAGCTTCGGAAATTCTGAAACTACTATAGTACACTAGGGGTCCCTTTTAAAAGGGTTGATAGGGGTTATAGAGTGTGGGCTGTAAAATGCCATAGCAAGGTTGTCCACAAGTGGATGCCGCAACACCCCAGTACCCACTTGTTGAACAGACTGTTGAAAGTGGGAGGGGGGGGGCACAAGAAAACAGGCGGCAGAGCTGGACACCGAAATGTGTATATTTAGTCAAGCGTTGAACCGCAAATCCTGTAGTAGAGCTCTCGAAGCCCCTAGTACTCCCAATTCCCGAACACCCACATCCGGCATTGAAAATCTAAACCACAAACTCCACGACTCCGTACGCCTAACCCCTAAACCCTTAAACCCAGGGTGCTTCAGTGTACAGGGTTTAGGCTTTAACCACAACTCTGCAGATGCAAGGCGCGTCGGTGTACAGGGCTTTTTTGCTGTTGTCACGCAGGTTCTTGCAGCTCTTCCAGAAATCCTGGACTTGGGTTTCGCTCGCCTTTCCTTGAATCATAGTCAAGGCTCAAAACTGAAAACTGATAGTCCATCTTATTTTCCATTATCCCAATATAATCCCAATATAACCCCAATATAATCCCAGTTTCCATTTCATTTTCCATTTTCTTTTCCATTTGATTCTCCAGTATATACTGTGGGCCATTAGTTTTGGCCTTCATGATTCAAAGCTTGGATCTTTGTCAGGGTATATGTTGGAGGTCGTGGCCTCAAGACAAGAAGCTGTCAGGCTCCATTCCTCTTTATGAGTTTTGCAGCACGAAACCAAAAACTTAACAGGGTTTAGGGCCTTAGGGTTTGGGGTTAAAACGATACACAACAGACCATGCTTCTGAGCACAAGGACCACAAACTCCCCCGAAGAATCAGGCTGACGAAGAAAGCTCTCGCAAGACTCCAGGATGCTTGAGACTGTGTTGCCCTGAAAGCACGAGCCAGCTTCCACGTAGATCTCCTTGGGTGGCATTGAGGCTTATGATGCTTTACATTACAGAGAGAGTTCTACTTGGGATCAAGATCAAAAAGCAAAGCGCCAAACGACGTCCAGGCTTCAGCACCATCAACTGAGACTGTCATCTCAAAAGCCCTGAAGCCCGCATCAAGTGCGCTTCGTATGGTGGGTGGCGAGGAGTCATGGCGCAACACGCCCCACAATCCAGGAACGCACAGCCGAGACAGGCAGGCATCATCTGAAATGTACCACATCCTTGGCCATGATGTGCGAGGACTTTTTGAAATTCGTGATCTTTGATTGTAATTTTAGGGCTTTTGCGTTAAGGGCATTGGTCTAGTGAAAGTGTTATTCTACTAGCTCCAGGCATCCAAGAGCAGAGGCTCCGCTTGTGAAGAAGTATCATGGAAGCCTGATCTTTGGCGTCGTCCACCCACACTGCTTGAAGCGTGTCCTCAACCTTGGTGCAACCCTCGTCAGTGTACACCAGATAGATGCCATTACCGTGGCGCCGCTCCTCACAAGAGTCCCGTGCAAGACCTTTCATAATCCATGCGCCAACGTGAGGGAGACACGAAAGACAAAGACACACCGTCCTGCTGCTCTCTTGTCGCCTTAACATAGAACTTCTTGAGATCACCTAGCATGAAGCTGAAGATGTCAACACCCCACAGCGGCTTCGATTCCTTAGCATTTAGGTGTTCAGATGTTTAGGGTTTAGGGTTTTAGGGTTTAGAGTTTCAGAGTTTGGGGTTTAGGCAGAAGTGGATGGACACATTCGGCGTAGTGTGCAAATGCTTGCAAGAAGTGGCCGGCGGCAGCCCAGATGACAAAAACAAAAAATGTGTATAATAGGGGTCATAGTAAATACGTATGTATTATGATCTGTATCCGACTGTTGCTGGGTGAGGGCAGTATCCAATACAAAGTTGAACTTGTTCTGCTGCTTTCCAGGTAAGTTTCACCTGGAGAGAGTGTCTCACCATCGGATATCTTCAACTCAGCTGACAAACCATTCATGACCATCACGTGAAGCGCCTGGAGATGCGGGGGGGACTGAGCAAGTGTTCAGGGCTTATAGCGTGAGATCTAGTGTCAACCTCACTCTAGACCCTGAAACTATGTAGAACTTGGAACCCTAGTAAAAAAAAATGCTGTTCCTGAGGAATATAATAAGCAAGAAGCAAAAAGCATTATCAAGTACCCCTAAGGAAATTCCATAGATCTTGAATTCAAAGTCTCAGAAAACTCTCCACACAGCTCGAGGTGGTTTGGGGGGGCCCTTCTAAAAATTCAATTCTTCATGGCTTTATAAGGAATATATAGGGATTAAGGGTAACAAAAAAACTAAAACAGTATTTTCGAACCTACCCCTGACAAGTTCATCTACGAACCTTATAGCGTGTTCACGCTGAGCTTTCCCCATTATACGTGTCGGTTTTGGGCTTGGATCCCTGCCAATGCGAAAAGACTTCAATCAGGAAGCTGCTTCTTTGGGTTAGGGTTTAAGGTTTGGTGCTTAGGGCTTAGGGTTTGGGGTTTAGGTAGACCACAATTGCATTCTCAAAACGCCAGGCTCTCTTTAGACCGCAGGAGTTGGCTAGCGGCTTCAATATACCCTATTATAATTTGAGCTATAGTCTAAACTCCTTAAAGGGGGTTACATAGGGGATTATGTAGTGGAGTATGATAGGGTTACTAAGGGGTTACTAAAGTTTAGACTATAGCTCATATGGTCGTTTTCAAGTTCTTGCCATTCTTGCTATGTAATCCCTACATAATCACTCCATATTAACTTTCATTGTCTTTTCATTTACTACTATAAGATCCCTATATAATCCCTCAATGAAAGTTTCCGTTTTCTTTTTCACTTGTTCCATGCCCTTTTCCATCAATTTACCTGGGCAACCGCCCCTCGGTAGCCAGCCCCAAGGGCAAAATCCGAGAAGATAACGTTCTGGGGCTTTTGTTGATTAGACAGGTTCTAAAAGGTGCGAGGAGTGTCTTACTTCAGTAAACCTGTTCAAAAAGATGGAATAAAGTCTTTCCGTCACACACCACTCTGACAGGATCTGCCAAAGGCACGGAAGGGGAGAATGGAGGGAGGAGAAAGACGTGCGTAAAACAGACGACAGCTACCATGCAACTACCCCACCGTGCCCCAATCCCTGGAGCGCACGATGTCGGTGTGGATCGGGGATCCCTCTGTTTCCTCACCACCCGCACCCGGATTCTCTTTTTGCAGCAGCTCTTCTTGCAGCTCCACAGCATGCCGCCCATGAAGCACGAAAGCCCTTTGGGTCTGATGAAACTTCCGACACCCTTGTTGCTAAAGTCAATTGGGAGCTGGGACAATACAGAAATTAGAGTTGAATGCACATCTCGCCATCCACCTGCTTGACTTCAGCCGCATGCGCTGGGGCCGAAGTTTGCTGGAAGTAGTTCCAAAACCTTTGGGTTGCACCACCTTTCAAAAGCAGCTTCTGTTTCAGCTCGTTCCGATCTGCTTCTTCTATATCCTTCACGAAGTCGTAGTCATTTGAAATCAGAAAATGCAGAACCAACGCTCTCTTCTCCTCTTGTTTGGTCAAATGGAACGGGAATAAATATTCCATGAAGGCTTCAGCATCCTCTGCCAAGCGTCGCCGCGCTTCCAAGGCACGTTCCAACTTGGTCACAATGTCATCTTGGGAGATGTCTGCTAACTCATCCAGCATGTTCTTGATTTCTGTGCTTGTGAGATCATGTTTGTCTTCCAAAGATTTTCGGATTGCCTGAAACTTCTCCTGCGCCAGGGGTCACAACATTTGGAGCCCAGAGCACATGACAAGGTCTGACAACTACGCTTCCCACCAAGGCCTCCGAGCAATGAAGGAATGAAGGCAGGCAGGGATTGGATTAATAATGCTTGACTTCACAAGACAAAATGGGGCCTATCCCCCACTAACGAAAGGACACCTCTAACACTTCCCTTTTGTGCGCCCCTGCGGCACTTCATGCGCCAAGATAGGCAACAGCAAAACTAGTTTCGTACAAAATGATTCCAAGTGCCAAGACTGGCATGTAGCAGAATCTATCAACGTCTCTGTCTCAACTTCTCTGTGAGGCCTGAACTGACGTTAGGGCAGGGGAACATCTGTAGCTTCACCTTGCGCAGTTTAAATGTTGATGTGACTAACAAAAAGCAACAGACTGACTTGTTGGTTTGCGGACAACTAGCCAGAAAAGAATGCACTCGAACTGCTTGAGATCGAGACTATACCCTGAACCTGACATCCGGCCAGCGTAGCCAGCTACAATTTAGTGCACGGTTCTGACGCAATTTTGATTTAAAAAAAAATCGTTTGGTAGCCTGAGCATTGGAGCTGAAACTTGAACACAAACTCAAGCCCGGCTCACCCAAGCTCACGGAGGGGACGCCAACATGTATTAACGATAGCAATTATCATTATTGATATTACTGCTTTTAATATGCTTATTACTACTGCAACAATTCTTCTTACTGTTGCGATTACTATTATGATTACTCAATGTACTAAGATTATTTGTATGAAATTTGGTATCAATCACGCCTGGCTATGTGTCCTGGATTCCAAGCTCATCTTGCCATATTTGCCTTCAATTTCAAGCACAGAGGGCGCGGTTTGCCGCGCAGTTTGCCAGAAGTGCGTCCACAATTTATATTTTGCACCACCTCTTGACAGCAGCTGCTTCAGCACGTCGCGATCCTTGCCTTCGATACCCTTCACGAAGTCGCCCCATGTTTATCTGCCCTTATGGGCAGATGAAATGGCGCAAGTATCCTCCATCTACGTACATGACATGCACAAAATGCACTGCACCCTCTAGATGACAGCAACCACTCCGTGCTTTCCGGATTCCTGAAGCAATGGCATTCTTCAGCGAAGATTGAACAGGCTTGAACCAACCGACGTTGAGTACATTTGCGGCAACACATTGGCCCTGCTATTTGAATCAAGATCAACTGGGTTTCGTGCTAATTTGCAATGCAATCCAGACAGTTATCAGGTAGCGGACGTTTTTAAAGACCCCTGCGTCCTCTAAATTCCAAAATCAAATCCAAAATCAAAATGCAGTCATCGAGGGTCAAACTGTTAATGGCAATTTGGAGCTCGGCTATCTCCTTGATTGTCTGAGACCGCTTCTGGCCCCCGTTTGCATGGATCTGCACGCACCTGTCATTGCTTCGAGTTTAAGGTTTTGGGGAGTGTTAGTGTCATTGTTCAATTCGATGCTCAACTCTGCGACGTCTGCCTAACCATGCCCTAACCCGGACGATAGGAAACGTGCACTATACGGACTCAAGGCGGCAGGCTGCTCCACTACAAACACGCCATCCCCACCCTGACAGCGCGAAAATGCGCAAACTATGATCCGCTGTTGTTGTCTTACAAGGACAGACACCCCTCCATATCAGGAGGTTTCTGCATCCTCGGAGTGGCCACGAGCGTTCTTACAACATCCTTTTTTAACGAAAAGGCAGCTGTATCCAAGTCTGGACCGCTCGCTTTTAACCCCTTCTAATATCTGTCAATTTTTGGTTTCTGATGAAGGGTTGCCCATTGTCGCTGTCACTGGCGTGAATACGTATTTGTTGTGGAGCAAGATGTGTCCATCCAAACCAAATTCTTGGAGCCGAACACGTCCTGATATGCTGATTGGTGGGAAGACTATACAGCTTGTAATTGATATCCCTGCATCCAAGAGCAAATGGCCTGTCCGCTGAGCGGCCCAAACTCAACAACATTCTGCCCAATGAATCTTGGGCCTGCCCATCCAATTCGGGCCTTTAGAGCATGGCGGCAATCTGGTTGTAAAATCGTTCCAACCGGGTAGCGCTGGGCGATGCCAAATGGCGAGTGTCATCGCCAGGCGACGCAGGGCGACGCCCGCCAGCGCCAGGCAACGCCGCGAGTCGCAATGCCACGCCGGGCAACACCAATGGGGTGGGCAGGTGAGCTGCCAAATGTATATATAGCGTACCTACGCAGTTGTCACGTTTAGTTGGCTTCGCTATGTTATGCTTCGCAACCTGCGTAAGTACAAATAGCTATGCAAGGATAACACATTTAGCTAAGTAACGATCATCTATTTATAGCTGAACGCCACCGAATGAAATCTTGCTGTATGCGCTGGCAGGGCAAACCATGCTCGCTAGCAGGAAGTGCTCATTTCAAGGCCGTGCAAGCACAACCAACTTATATTGTTGCTGTAACTGTAACTGTACATGCTGCCAGGGAATGAATTGTAAGGCAACGCTGTCACAAGGAAATGAAAATTCTGCGGCTGGCAGGGCACACGTGCTCGCCATGTAGCAGGAAACGCTGATTTTAAGGCAGCACTGTCACAACGTCACCAGCATCCTTGCTAAAATGCACGCGAGACTTATAAGCACAGACCCCACAAACTCAGCATTTGAATTTGTTGGCGCCTTGTGGCTCCAAGTGGCTCCAAGAAACTCAACAAGACATGAGCCTGTGGCATCACTCCGGTGGACATGCAGCCACACTTTGACTACTAGGCCAGTACTGCAAAACGCGACGTCTCCCCTTTGGCAAGTTTGTCCAGGGCCCACAATCGCGCCTGGCGCAACTTACATGCCAAGGGCGGCTTGCGCGCTCCAAAGACGGTTGCCAATTGCATCTGCAAAAATTTATGGCGCTGGTCCAGGGGAGAGAAGATCTCCTCCACAATCCGGAGCATGCGCCCCCAAACATCCTTGACCACACATCTTTTGAGCCAGTCCTGCGGATTGCGCACGTCGTTCGCAAACGGCTAGATACGCCGTGTTTTTGTTCGTGAATGAAACAAAAGATGAGCTGCTTGGTGGCCGCTACGATAACCAAACGTAGGGCATAATGGAATTTCGGGATGACATGGCCCTTTCCACACGAAATAACACCATCTTTACAACGCGCGACAATTTTTCCCTGCAACTCCTGTGCGCCACTGTGCACTGACATGCTGACCGGACACCAGCCAGCAACAAGTCCAGCACCGCACAAAGTTTGAGGAAAGATCGGACTGCTTTTTCTATTCTAGCCTCACCCCATGAAACCTGGTAAGCGATAACAGAAAGACCCACGACATTGGGTACGTGGACAAGCACACCGGAGCCTGGCCTTTGAAATACTCACCACGCTTGTGCTTTTTCTGAAAGTGGCACAATGCATCCTGTCTGCGGGTCGTCAGGCGCTGAGGCCAACCCACAGCTGCCATGAACTGGCGCAGTATTGTGGCCTGCAGCAAGGAGAACTGGCAAAAGAAGACCAGGCTCCAGATTGAAGAGGCCTGTGACACGGCAGATGTGTAGCCAGTCAAACATCCAGGTGGAAACCGGCGGTGTGCTCCTGGGCGCCTGCACACCACGCGGATTGAAATTGACACCCAGTGATTTTGTCATCTGATCGCAAGCAGCAGCAGGGAGGCTGTCACGTCGAGCCTGCAAGGCTGACCACAGATCAACATCCCTGCGAACCTTAATTTCGAAACCTCTGTCTCCTGGGTCGTCACATCATGTTCATGCAGACAGCTGCAGCGGGAAACCACATTGGCGCATAAAGCGCATGGCAAAATTACACTAGCACCCTTCACAGCAAAGGCAAACTTCAGCGCAGCCTCGATGCCCACTATGGTTTGAAGCGTTGCAAACAAAAAAATCACCGGACATGCTGAGCAGGCAAACCCGCGGCAAGCTGACGGTGATGCAACTGTGCCAACATGTTTGTAATCTTTGGCAGTCCACCTCTCATCTTCTTAACAAGAGATGCACGCGCCGAAACACACGCAAAACCACTTGTCTTCTTGACAGGGCCTCAGAGCCTCAGACCCGAATTCAGCAAAGGAAAGGTAGAATGTCCAGACTTTCCTGCTATTCGATGGCTTGAGGGGGTTTCCTGAGAGATGTTCTTGCCACCATTTTTGGAAGAAACGCCACGAACTGTGGTATGCTTCGACACGCGTGCCAAAGAAACGCGCCCAGATTCAGCACCGGTATAGGGATTTCTTCCTTGGCACTTGATTTGCTCTGGATTTCGTTTGAACCTGGATTGTCATCTCCATAAGCATCGACCCACGCGGTGTTCAACTTTTACATCTTACTCTCTGTAAAGTTCTGCGGGACTACTTATTTTCCAATCTTTCAGGACTCAAGTCCTAAGAGACTGACATAAAGTGGTCCAGACTTCCGAAAGAAAGCGGCACGTTCATTTCCGGCGCTCCACGCCACACAATGCGAAAATCTACCGTCTATACTGCTGCACTGGACGCCACGCAAGCTACATGAAGCCCCGCGCACGACAGGATCTTCTATATCACCCTGTTCCTTGCACTTCGAAAAAATGGACTTGTTGCCTGCACGCGTAGCCGGACAGCTGATCTGACGTCGCGGAAACACGCACACCAAGCATGCGCACTGAAGATCTGCACGCTGCAAACGCCAACAACACTCGCATCTCGCAGCGCCAAAGACCAAAAGGAGTCTACCTCTCAGAATGGACAACTCAGCAGCTGTGGCGCTGTCACTGTCAAGGTGAAACTGGATCTGCGCACATACCTTGCAGATACGCGTCCCTGTGCTTCTTGGTTGACGTTCAACCCAAAAGAGCAAAGAAGCTTCTTTGGATCAGACGCAAGCGCTTGAACTCGAAGGCACAACTAGAAAAGAAGTAATCTTCGTAGAAGCAGGTCCAAATGCAACAGCAAAACCACCACGTGGCAGTTCACACCGGCGCGCGCGCCGAATGGAAGCATGTGCGATTTGAAG